CAATATACTCAATGTTTCAAGAGGAAACGCCATGGTGCAAGAGGGATATGTCAGGGCACAGGAGGGAGCATCATAGCCCAAGAAGGAATGCTTATGGAACAACAAAATACTTCTTGGCCCATCCTTTTATTAGATGGTGCAACAAGGTCCCCTTGTTGCTCCATATCACTGGCAAGTGCTCCAAACCTCTTCCAGTTGCTCAAAACCTCATTTTATATGATCCGTTACTTTGGCACTTGATCCATTCCTTTGTTATAAAATCCATTCCCTTCTTAGATCATCTATTCCTTTGTCACACACTCCATGATCCTCAAGTGCTCCATTGAGTTCTAAGTGATCCAAATGAACTAATAAAATGCTCCATCCAAGTGCTTCACTTGCTTCTAAGTGCTCCATATTGGACAAGACATTTTACCTCAACAATCTCCCACTTGAAGGCTTAAACAAATTATTATGGCATTCAAAGTCTTCTTCATTCTGTCAATCTCTCTCCCTTTCTATGCTAACCTTCATCCTCAAAATCTTGGAATGGCAGCTAAATCCACGTCTGGATTCAACATTTAATTTGTAAACACCTTAGTATATTTATCCGCTGGGTTCTCCATACTAAGGACTTTCTTCAGCTTAATAGCCTCTTGGTTTATTGTTTTGAACTCTCTGGTCAACCATATTTTAAGCTCATTGATCTTCTGTGTGTTGGAAACAACAATCAACACGTCATTAACATTTAATACAAGATTGATGTATGAGGAGCTTAAAATTTTCAAGTAACAACTGTGATCAACCTCATGTCTTCTAAACCCATTCCTCTTCATGAAGTTATCAAACTTTAAGTACCATTGCTTAGAAGTTTGCTTCATCCCATGGAAGTTTTCTTTATTCTTGAAAACCAACTTTTTCTTACAAGCTGTAAGAGCACTTTCTGGCTGTGCCTTTAAGATGTCTCCTTCCAAGTTATCATAAAGGGGATCAGTTGTATTCATATCTTGGTACTCTAGATGGAGATTTTCAAAGGCCATTGCATTCATCGTAGAAGTAATTGTAGTCATCTTCACAACTAGAGAATTGTCCTCTCCCTTCTATTGTATTCACTTGACAACCAATCTTCCCTTGCAAGGTACCACCATCTATCTCATATTTAACTTGAAACATCTTACTATTCTGTAGTCTGCTCTACTTGTCATTCATAGCCTTTTTCCACTGTATGGAGTTTATCCTCAAGGCATCTAGTTTTGATGCATTTTCACATATCAACGTGTCATTGGTTGATGGAGAATAGCTCACTGGAGTACTTTGCTTTGTGGTCCTCTAGATAATGTGCGGTTTGATCTTTAAAGCACCTATAGCTCCACCCTTATAACAATTATCATCAGAGCTCCCAGTATTTCCAAGTTTATCAGAGCTCCCATTACTTCTTGAACATCTTCCTATCCTTTGACCAAAGATAGGTTTTGCATGATTCTAGGATCCTCCCACTGAAGAATCTGAAGTTGGACTACAAACACCAGAATGAACTGAATGTGACTTCCTAAACTTAGGTGGATTTCCTATCTTCGCAAAACTGACTTTCTTTTGTCTTCCAACAGAACATGGCTTAGAAGCATCTGTCATATTCTTCAAATTCAGCATCCTCCCACTGGATATAAGCTTCCTCATTCCCTCTTCACTCATATGAACAAATCTTTTATGGCATAAAGTGGATGTTCTAACTCCTTCAACAGTGCTTGCTTCCTCTTCAAAAACCTCCACCATATATAATATACCATGTTTCTGACCCTTAGTAATGATCAACTTTCCATTTGTGATCACCAAATGTAACATGCTAACCTTCATTTTCAAGCTTTCAAAATGATATCAACATCCTCTTTAGATATGGAATGAACTTGACATTCTTCAAAGTCCAATCGGTACCTAGAGTCTTCTTAAGAATGATATCTCCGATACCCATGATATCTAGACATTTGTTATCTACCAGCCTGACCTTCCCTTGGTAATGCATGAAGTTCTATATCACATCTCTAGACTAGCATGAAATGATGCACTAGAATCCAAGGCCCATGATTCTATTGAATTTTCAACTTAACAAATGAGTGTGTCACCTTCAAAATCTTTTGCCATATTCATCTCCTTTTGGCCTTTATCTGCCATGAGCATTGGGCAATTACTTTTGACATGACCACTCTCTTTGCAGTTCCAACGACCACATCCCTCTCGTTGTTATATCTACCTATCCTTCTCGACTTCGATCTTCTAATACCCCTACATCCTATGTTGGACCCCCTCCTATATCTTCAGTACTTACAATACTTTTGGAAGATTCTCCAGCACTCCGTCTATGTACATCCTCACCAAGGATTAAGTCATGAATGCCTAAGAATGTCAGTTTAGCACCCCCAACTGACCTGCTAACTGCTTTCACTGTACCAGACCAACTATCAGGCAAAAATGATAATAATAGAAATGTCATGATGTCATCTTCAAATTTAATATCAACCGAAATCAACCTTGATAGGGCTGAATTAATTTCATTAACATGATCAGTCACCGAGCCACCCTCCTTCGTCTTCAAATTTACCCATTGTCGAATCAAGTGAAGCTTCTTCGTTGCTGATGGTTTTTCACACATGTTAGATAGTGCATTGATCAACTCATGAGTAGTCTTCACATTGACAATGTTGTAAGCTATATTCTTTGCCAAGGATAATCTCACCACACCAAGTGCCTTCTGATCTAAGAATTACCAATCATCCTGCTTCATTTCTTCAGGTTTACTTTTGGACAATGGTTCATGTAAATTCTTCTATTAGAGATAGTCTTGGATTTGTATTTTCCAGAAACTGAAATCCTGCCCATTGAAATTTTCAATCTTAACTCTACCGTCTTCAGCCATAGCTCTGATACTAGTTTGTTGGGTTACAACAAAACAAGTTAAGTAGTTCAGAAAAATATCAATACAAACTTTGCTGAACTTGCAAAAATAAAACTTCTCAAAATGTAAATAAAGTGAACAAAATATTTAACGTGGTTCGGTCAAGGTGACCTACATCTATGGGTGAATGAGAGAGAGAGAGAGAGAGAGAGAATTTTTTTAACTTCCAAGAAGAATTATAATAAAAAAAGGTTACACCTCACTTGACCTATCAATACAAAAGAATCTCTCTTTCTTACTAACTGCTCCAAGGGAGTCCTCTTAACCTTACAATGATTACTCTCTTGAAATTTCTGCGCACAAATAATGATGGAGATATGAGTCTATTTATACTTGAATGATCATACCTAAAACCCTAATGGGCCAAGCCTATTAGCCCATAGGCCCATAAATGGTGATAACCAATCATATTCTGACATGCAACATCTTCTAGAACATTCTTCATGTTGGATAAGGTGTTTAAGTCCATAACTATATTTGGTATGTACTTGACTCGACTCGACATGGTCCATTTGGGTTGCATGGCATCATGCATTTGGATAGACTAAATGAGAGAAATAAAACTTGTGGTTTATTAATATATTATAAGTTCTAATATATTAATAGTATTATTTAACTAGTATTGATCAAGAATTAATTTGGAATTAATTAAGTGATCAAAATATAATTAATTAAATATATGGGTTGATTATATAAATCATCCATAACTTGTATAGTGTGCTAAAAGGCTCCATGGATTATCAAGTTGGGTTAAACCCATAGGATGCTCCATGGATGCTCCATGGGAGTTACAAACCCATGGGTCATGGAAATGAAGAGTCATGTCACATTAGGGCTTACATGGTGTAACCCTAGATGTGACACAGTATATAAGGAATATGACATTCACCAAAATCGGCTACACGAAGAATACAAGAGGGCTAGGCCGATTTTTAGAAGTGTTTTCATTCTCTCAAAGTCATTTCAAAGCATTTGGTGTTGTGTCAAGCGTTTGAAGCATCACACTTGGGGTGCTAGGCTCTCAAAGTTTTCAAGGAATCAAATCAACTACAAGGTGTGTAATTCTAGCCATCTTTTAGATTAAAAGTTCCCCATGTATGCTAGATAGGATTATGAACCTTGGAAATCATATTTTTCATGTATTTTAGACAAACATAGATCCAAGGTTTTCTAGGGTTGCATGTACACTTAGGGGTGTTAGAATGCTCATAACCCATCACTTTTGTGCCATACAACCCATGAGAATCAGCAATACACATGATGGAGCACCTTGTGACATAGTGGAGCATCATGATGTACAAGTGGCACATCATGAATACTAATGGCCTGAAATCCATCATGGTGGCACAATATGGTGTAATCCTTGAGTAATACTAATTTTTGAGCATCCTTGAACGATCTTGAGCATCATATAGGACTTCGTATCATACTTGGCTTAACAAGGATACCATGGCTAATCAAGGAACCAAAATGACCCATCTTGCACCATGATGGCACAACATGTTCAAGGATGGCGCAACATGCTTCAAGTGTGGCACAAGAACTTCTATGTTGGAGAGAACATCACCACCTTGGCACAACAAGAACATGCTTGGCACAACAATATACTCAATAGCGCGAAAGGAAATACCATGGTACAAGAGGGATACATCATAGCACAAGAGGGATAACTCATGGCATAAGAGGGAGTTGCATGGCACAAGAAGGAATGCTTATGGCGTAACAACACCCTAATTGGCCCATCCCTTTATTAAATGGCGCAAAAAGGTCCCCTTGTTGCTCCATATCACTCCTAAGTTCTCGAGACCTCTTCCAGGTGCTCCAAACCCCCTTTTATATGATCCCTTCCTTCGACACTTGATCTGTTCCTTTCTCAGACGATCTATTCCCTTCTCAGATGATCCATTCCTTTGTTACATGCTCCATGATCCTCAAGCGCTCTATTGAGTTCTAAGTGCTCCAAATAAACTCAAAAATGCTCCATCCAAGCACTCCACTTGATTCTAAGTGCTTCATGTTGGACAAGACTTCATACCTCTTGATCTTTGATTTAATCTAGATATATGTCATTCTACATCCATGCACCATACACTTTGAAAGGACATGGTTTTTTGTCTTCTTTTCTACCACACTTGGAAATAACACAAACTATGTTAAATTTCACAAACCATAGTTGGCACCCATTTGCTACAATGTAGTTAGTAAGTGCAAACCTTAACTGTGACAGAGGCTCGTATATCTCTCCAACATGTAGCTCAATTTTGCTCCATTTGACATCGAGATCATGAACTTTGTATTCGAAACCCACTTCATAACCATCTTCATCTACAAATAGACCGTGCTTATCAGCATTATTATGGTTGTCATCACTTTTATCTCCAATTCCCCTCCCATTGTTGTTATCATCATACAAAAACCTGAGAAACAAATTAATCAACTAATTAGATGTAGGTTTCAAAGTCTCTGGTTCAAATCTAAAAGCTTAAATCAAGCATGTCATCATCAGATTCTTCATCTTGTAACTATGTCTTCTCCAGTGCTTTCTCTTTCCTTTTCTTTGATGTAGGCATTATTTCAATGCTTAAATTGGTTCAATGTCTTCGTTGCTTCACCGATTATATTGGAAATAGGTTTTTAGTTCTTAATTATACAAAAACCCTCAACTTATCATTTTAAACCCTTTGCAATCCTCTTTGCTTGTGTGATGTTTTGGAAAAGGTAATGTAAGTACGTAAGGGTGTTTGTCTCTTTTTCAAGAATGTGACACTTAAGTGTAGTGGTAACCACCAATCAAATGATATGTTTTCTCAATAATCGTGGCATATTAGGAATAAAAAGCAGAAGTTGTGCCAAAAGGCCTTATGTTCTTGGACTTTTGTAGCATTAGCCTTAATTAAAATGCCAACGTACTTTCTATTTATAATAATTTAACACAAACTCACAAAATAGAACTCGTGTAATAGTAAAATTATAATACCAAGTTTTAAAATAGATTACAGGAAAACTAAATAACCAGAAATATCTATGAAAATTATCTAAAGCAACAATAGCTTCCATTTGTAAAATCATGAGTGAATTAAATGCATGGTCCTTATGGTTTAGCGTAATTTGTGTGTTTAGTCCCCAACTTATTTTTTTTAACTTGGAGAATCCCTATAGTTTGGTTTTGTTATGTGTTTGGTGTATGTTAGGCTTAAAAGAGCTATATTGCTCTTTTCTATTTTCTTTTTTAATATTTTTTTTTGTCATTAATCAACTAAAATAAATATTTGTTAAAATTACTGCCCCTCTTAATCCTTTCCGCCTTTGTAACTTTCCCCATCTTTTTCCTCTTGCCTAAGTAAATTAAAATTGTTCTTCATTTTGCTATCAGAAAGAGAACCCCTTTTGATTGATAACTAAAATAACACCAAAATTCACATAATCAATTAACCAGGAAAATATCCATTGATGGTTAACTGGAATCAAACCCAAAAATCACAGGACCGAATCCACAAAATATTAATCAAACCCAATTCAAACCCAATACTCAAAATAGGTTTGATTCTCAGCGATTGAGATGGGTTTGAAGATTTTACACGCCGAAGAGATTTGTTTGAAGGAGTTTGCAGATGGAACTTATGGTTGAGAGAAAGCAGGCGATGATGGTGATCTAGGTATGGTTTAGGGTTCTTCAAATTAAAGCAGACAATGATGGTGCCGAGATTTATGGTCCGAGTATAGCCGAAGAAAATCAAAATCAATTGAGAGGAAAAAAACTTTACCCTAGGGCTCAATGGAGTGGGTTCCACCATTCCTTTGATGACTTTAGCGAAGGCGTTCATGGTGGCAGATTGGGGGTTTAACACGAGGGATCGTCGTTGATTATATATAAAAGCAAGATGCGAGATTAATGTAGGATAAAAGTGTGGGGTTTGGCTCCACTTACTAGTAGCAGATCTGTTGGTGGTAGTGGATGATACCTGAAGCTTTAGGTATTTTAGTGTAGCTTTCTTTAGTTTCTTTAGAGAAAGAGAAAGAGACGGAGATGAAGAGGAAAACTAATGGACTTGATGTGGAGGGCTAAAGCTCAAGTGGGTTGGACATATATTTAATAAATATTTTTTAACAAGTTAGAAATAAATAAAACAATTAAAATAGTCAGTAATGGCATATTTGTCTTTTTAAGTCGATTAGGGACCAAACGCATAACAAAACCAAACTATAGGGATTGTCCGGGTTAAAAAATAAGTTAGAGACCCAACGCGCAATTTACGCTAAACCAAAGGGACCATTTGTGTAATTTACTATAAAATTAAATAGTTTGGTATGTGTACCATAAGTCGAAAAAACTAAACTTTTACTACGATCATCATTGTACGTCGAAGAAACCATTTTTTGTTTTCTTCCGACATTCATGATAAAAATCATTATTAAGGTAAGCCTAATATCACTCAAACCTTTGAGCAATATCAAATCTTTTAACATTGCTACAATGAGACCCTAAGTATGCAGATTCCCATGGTAGATGTGATGTAAGCATTAAACATGGGCATAGCTCTAAGTTTGAATTCCAAATTGGCTAAACCTATGACGACCAAACAAAAACCTAATCAAAACTATCCAGATCGGCGATAACAAACACATATTAAAAATAACTTTAATTAGATAAAATATAAATTTTGTTTATAGATATATCTTACATCAAAGCATGACATCATCAAGAATAATCTAGGACATGAATGAATAAAAACTTGATGGCCATACAAAACAATTAAGCAACAAAATACAATTAATTATATAACTGATATAATATTCTACCTTTCACAAATAGTACGCACAATAAAACTTATAGTAGAAATAACAACTAGCCAATATCTTCTTCAGGCATGTTAAGCGAACAACTAAGTTAATGTTGTTTTCTTTGAACCATGACAAATTGGGTTTCAACATGATCTTCGAAAGAAACCACAAATTACAAATGAAATTGAAAATTTTGAAATGATGTATCTCATTGTTAGAGTAAATTTCACGAATGATCCTTATGGTTTGAGATCATCTATACGTTTGGTCCCTAATTTATTTTTTTAACTCGGATGGTCCTTAGAATGTATTTTTATTGCGCATTAGGTCCCTCGCAGACATAAAAAGACTATATTGCCCTTATTACATACTTTTTAATTAATTTATTTTTTAATATTTACTTAAATATTTTATTTAATTGTTTATTTATTCACCCTTATCCTTCATCGTTCAAGATCTCATATGCCCAATTCATCACCGACCACCCCACCAGCACCCAATTGACCTTCGGAAACCAATTGACCTCCGATAACCTCTACGAGTACAACCTAAAGATCATATCAATACAAACCTCAAAATCAAACAAATACAAACCTAATATGTGAAATTCAAACCTCAAAATCAAAATAAAAAATACATATAAAAAATAAAGATTATAAACGAAATGATTCACATCCTAATATCTGAAATTCGATTTAGCAAGTTGATTCACCAAACTAATTAAAAAACGAATCACAAATCATAAACCAAATGCTACAGATCATAATATACCCATATTAAGAATGGTAAGGAAAGAAATGGAAGGGAAACAAATGGATCAAAGGTCGAGGGTTCATGGGGCATCATGTGAAGCGGTGGTGGAATCCTAACACCACAACGCTGGTCCATAGGTCGACGGTGGTCCAATGTCGACTAGTAGTGGAGGATCCTTCCTCTCATTACAAAGTTATTCTGTGGGAATTGAGCAGCGGTGCGGAGCCCTAAGAAATGGTCTTCGACGGCGGAGATCTTTGACGTCTGGTATCATTCCTTCTTCTTGATAGAGGGTGAAGAAAACGGTGGTGTTGATGGAGGAAAGGCATTAGGCTTTACAAGAAGACCAATTGATGTCCGACAAATGTAAGGGAAGTGAGAGCTTTCCCACAAAGGTATTTGCGACGAGTCTTGAAGCTGAGATCTTTCCGGTGAAGGTAGAGGAATGAGTGAGGAAGGAAGGAGTCTTTGTGATGGTAAAGATGAATTGGTCGATGTCTCGATGATGATGATGATGATGATGAAAACATGAGATACGATGGGGATTAAGGGTGGGTGGACTCATCTTATTTAATTTTTTATAAATAACAAATAAATAATAAAGAAATGAAAAATAAATCAAAGGGTAATTCAGAGGGACCTAACGTGCAATAAAAACAGATAGCAGAGACCGTCCGAGTTAAAAAAATAAGTTAGAAATAAACATACAAACTATCCTAAACGACAAGAACCATTCATGTAATTTACTCTCGTTCTTATTATACACTTACCAGTAGGGTAAAGAAACTATATATTCCAATCTACTGCCATGACACTCTTTTAACTCTTATAATAGAAGCATAGTTTTAAGTTTAATCATTTACATATCAGATACTCTTAATAAACTAGTCATTGAAACCTCATACATGCAGACAATAAAAAAGAAATCGTAAACTACAAGTATTTTGTATTTGAAAATCTCTTCCACCATCATCGATCCTTTCATGAACCCAACTACCATTCGGAATCTGTTGATCGAAATGGAAAAGAACTACAGGTGCATAAGAAACTTTTCACAAAAGCCTGTGGAAATCTCTCTGTAGTCGGCAATTACAGCGAGTAAAAATCAAGAAACAAGCAAAAAAAGTATGTCAGAAAAAGACTAAAATTATCAAAACCTACAAATTAAGCAAAACATCAAAAAATTTCACCTCTAGTCTGCACGTTTTCCTTATTCATAATCAAAACCAGCTGCTGACCTAAATGATCGTCCCCTACCTTACGATGAATGTTGCCCTGCCTCCAAGCCTTATGTGTGGTATGGACACATTCGAAGAGGGTCTTCCAGGAGCCAAAGTAGTCAATGATTCCAAAGGTAACAGAACATAACCATGAATCAATCTATGATTACAACGCTTGATATTAGATATTAAATTGAAGAGAGTGAACAAACTGCCGGAGAACAATGAAGTACTAAACTGTATCATAAAGAGACGTACTTACGTTAGTGATGATCTTCTGATTCAGAGTTATGGAGAAACCTTTTAGGCGATGCGTGTGTTGGTTTAATGCATGTTATGCTGATTTTTGCTCTATGTAGGATTTTTTAAACCGACTTCTATCATAAAGCAATGGGAAAAGTTTAGGGTTCTATCCAAAGAGTCTTAAGGAATTATGTCTTGTTCATATTAAGAACTCACTCTTAAACCGCCTCTATGATCTATCCAAGAGATCTCTAGAAAATTTTGGAACTCAAGTAAAAGACACATGAGGAAGATCTTGTCACCAAGTACCTAAGCTTCCAAATGGTTATAGATACTTTTGTCTAACACTTATACACAAAGAAAAGTTATAGTTTTCAACTTCCAACTACTTTGGCTAAACATACCATATAGCTATCGTCACTCCAAAACCAATAGTGCTAGCCTTGTAGTCTATAGTTGTTTACATTGTGTAAAAGGACAAATTTAAAAGTAAATATCCGATTACAAAGATTCCAAGTGGTTGATGCATGTTGTATGATTTTTGAAATACATTTTTATTTAGAGCACTCAAGAGTTTCAAGGCTCCCAAATATTTTCCAATTTTCTTTTATTCCATTTTAATGGTTAATCACATGAAATCATGGATATCTCTTAATTACGAGATTGCTTAGGCATTTTATCTGATTAGATAGTTTTCAATTTCAAATTTCCAAAACTTGATTTACATGCCAAATTTAGCTCCATCCTTTCTAGTGGGTTGAATATAAGCTTTAATGATCATCTTGGAAAAAATAAACATTCAACATTTGGGATTTTCTTTAACAATTCTTGTTCATTACTTCTGTTCTACGTCCATCGATGATGACATCCGAGACATATGGGACCAAGGGACGTCATTTTTTCCTGTGTGAAATTGTCATCAATACCTTGGTGAACAAGGTTGAGTTCACATGTAAGTCTTACATGCTACATATGGGTAAAAAATAGTTATACTGTATTCGTGTTTTACTGGCCACATCGGAACATATACATTAATTAATTGTATCGATAAAACGTTTTTTTTTTGTTCCTTTTCAAGATTAATTAATTAAACACGTCCGATGGTTCAATCATACACCTAAGCAAAGTGTTGATTAAAATATAAATAGGATTGTTAAGAAGGGAATCTCAAATACATTAAAGTCGTATAAAAATGGCCTCTTTCTAACGACATAGTCAACAGTCAAAACTGATATAGAGTATTTTAATATATATATGAAGTCAATAGTCAAACGTGAAACCGTTTACACGTAGTAACCACCTAACACCCCTCCTTTGAAATGTTTATATAAATATGCATACTAACTGCTAACCCATATATTGATTAACAAGCTATAGAAATGAAGTCGTCGAGCATTGCATGTGTGTTCTTGGTGGTGCTTCTTTTGGTCCATACAAACCCCATCAAAGCTAGCAGAGTTTTGCTTGAAAAAAATTACTTGATCCGATTAAAGAGTTCCAGGCTTGTTTTCCAGTCCCTTCCTAAGGGACCTGTTCCACCTTCTGGTCCATCGGGGTGCACATATATTCCCGGAAGTGGTGGACCACCATGTCCATCGTGAACTTCTTCAATGATGTCATGTTGTCATGGTATAGCTTGTTTATATATCATGGGGGAAACTCTTTCATGATTACTCTTGTTAGGGGTTTATTCTTTTATTTATCAATTTATGGAGAAAGCTACGATCTGTATAGATATATAGTTAGTTTATGGATTCAATTCTAATCTATGAGATAAATTTTTAATTAGAGTTTTTTTTATTTATTCGATGTTTTATGTTTCTATTTATAGATATAAATTTTATAGGTTATAATGTGACATCCTTATCCAACCATATATTACAATAATCCGTGTACTTTGTATATAACAAACTCGTACACCCGCTACAAGAAAAAAGAGAATCAGCGGCGACAAAAGTCGTCGGTAAAGGTTAGAAATGTCGTCGGTAAAGGCATTAGCGGTGACATGTCACCGGTAAAAAGTCGTCGGTACTACTCTAACCCTGTTTCTCTAATTGTCGCTAGTAAAGATATTGGTTGCCGTGAATGCTCTTGTCGCCGGTAATACCCTCTGTCGTCGGTAATTCCCTCTGTGACCGGTAATAACATTTTTTTTTTAAATCAACAATTTTGGGTGCAAAACAACTGATACGTAACGACATTAAATACATAAAAAAAATTACATAACAACATCCGATTAGGTACCAAATAGTGTTATAATTTTATATCAAAATAAACAATCAACGTGTTAAAATTCCAAACGTATCACAACAAATCTAACATACAAACTACAAACTAATTATCCGACAAACCATCATCTCCGTTCTCCTATTTTCCTTCTTGATCTTTCCCTGATTGAAAAAATGCATAAAGTTTCTCCCTACACGTCGGGTCGTTGAACATTGCACGAAGATTTTCTAACTACATAATAAATAACAACATATATAAACATATAAGTTAAACTATCAAACACAAATAAAAACTA